CATGAAATCGAACATTGGCAGCGCGAGCACGGCCCCACTGTCAGTTAAGGGTATAGAAATTGATTTATCTAACTGTCCAACATCACCATATCTATTAAAATATCGGAAGTGTAACTCCATCAATCGTATAATTTCGCAACTTTTATCATTTCTGGATCGCTAGACTCATCGCAATCATCTTTCGAAAGTAATAAGTTCTCGATCGATCAGTCCGTTATCTAATGAAGTCCCAATTCACATCATGCAAAAAAACAAAATCTTATTGCAATAATACGTACGTAATCTATTTGTTGATTTAATCAAGCGACATGGTTAATTGATTTCTTTGGCTATAAATATATGGGATCCATTTAAGAGCCGACGTATACTTGCCATTCTAGTTCTCAAATTCTCTCTGTTTTTCTTTTTTATCAAAGCACTCTATCCAATCCAACACAATGGTGCCCATCTTTGAGCATAAAAATATTGAGAAGAATGACCTTGAAAAGCAACTGAAGTTTCCAGGTAATGCCAACTTACCTAGTTGCTGGAATTTATCAAGCGGCAAGAGCTTGAACTTGGATGTTAAAGATGATCAGAAGAAAATTCACAAGCTTACCGTCCAAGAAAGGAACGGCTATATATGTTTCAGTGGTGATGGTTGGAAGAATTTCAAAACAGAGAAACGCATTGAAAAGGATGACAAGATCAGCCTTTACTATCATGACAACTCCCGCTCTGGAGCTCAGTACAGTATTAAAGTGGAGAAAGCTAAGAAAAGGGATCATTAGCTGGATTTTATATATCCTTAATTTTTCCTTCCCTCTTCTTCACTTATCTCAAAATAAACGATCTCTTATAAGTGATTGTCAGTTAAGCCCATGATTTAGCTTGTGATATTTTGTTATCCTTTAGTTTGTGTGCTGTTTTTGTCTATTGTGTAGACTCTAGGGTGATGTTTTTATACTGTTATATTATCATATGAATTATTACCGTGTTTGTATGGTTGCATCTGCAATAAAACTAAAGTTTCACAATTGAGAAAATAATTTGAAATACTTTTTTTTTTCTGCCAACATTCAAAATTCTTCTTTATTAGATATATTTTAATACTAAGTCTAGAAAGAATATACATTGATATAGGTATTTTCTCTACCGGTTCACACCGTGAGCTATCCAAAAGTGGTACATAAAAGACTTCTTAACATTAACAATCATGTAAAATAGCTTATAATTAATTACCAAAAAAATGTAAAAATAACTTATTATCAATTAATTATATTAATTCGTTGACAGAAAAAAAAAAATTAAAGTGCATGATTTCATGTTGGCAAGGGAAAAAGAAGAGTTACTAGTATTTAATTTTTCTTTTTGTTTATTGCCCAGAATTAACTGCTTTTCTTTTTATGTTCTTGGCTTATGTTCTTGACGTATGTTTTTCTGTGGGCTCCATCCTACTCTCTTTTAACATATCCAGACAACAACAGAAATTGTCCGAGTCGGACAGCTGGTTAGCGAGAATTTTTCTACACTTCATGTTTGTAGCATTCATTACTTTCTTTTTGCAAATGGTATTTCCTCATCCCAAATTAACGACTCTATGACCGTGTGATTCAATGATAATTTTCTTGAGTTTAATTAATGATCAAGTTGTTTTTTATAGTAATAACTTGCGTATTTCGTTGCTGTGAATTTAAAGGATTATAGACCCATTAGTTTGATTGGATGCGTCTATAAATTATTAGCGAAGGTATTAGCTAATAGATTGAAATCGGTGATGTCAGAAATTGTAAGTGAAACTCAATCGGCTTTTGTAGGGGGCCGTCAATTGATTGATAGTGTATTAGTGTTGAATGAAGTAGTAGATGAGATTAAGAACAAAAAGCAGCCAGCTTTTGTCTTTAAGGCAGACTTTGAAAAGGCATATGATTGCGTTGATTGGTCTTTTTTAGACTGGATGATGGATAGTTTTGGCTTTGGAATAAAGTGGAGAGGATGGATTATGGAGTGCCTTTCAACTGCGAGAATTTCGATCTTGGTAAATGGAAGCCCGACAAGGGAATTTGAGGTAGGAAAAGGATTACGTCAAGGGGATCCTTTATCCCCTTTTCTGTTTTTAATGATTGGTGAGGGGTTACAAGGCCTGGTACAGAAAGCAGTGACGGAGGGAATGCTACATGGGATTGTGATTGGAAAGAACGGGTTGAATGTGTCTTTACTTCAGTTCGCCGATACAATATTTATGGGCAGAGCGGATGCTGAGAATATTCGTATGGTGAAGGATGTGTTGAGATGGTTTGAAATTATGTCGGGACTGCGGATAAACTTTAACAAAAGTAGTATTTATGGCTATAATGTGTCGGAGAGATGGCTAAAGGGATCAGCGGGAATGTTACGCTGTGGAGTGGGCCGAGCACCCTTTCTTTACTTGGGATTGCCTATTGACACTAAATCTGGAAGTAAGAAGGTGTGGGAGCCGATGGTAAAGAAACTACGTGCCAAGCTTGTTGTCTGGAAGGCAAATACTCTTTCCTTTGGAGGCCGCCTCATCCTGCTGAACTCGGTACTCTCTGCTGTGCCCATTTTTTATATGTCCCTATTTCTATTACCTAAGTCTGTTCTTGTGGAGTTGATGAGCATTCAAAGGAGATTTTTATGGGGGGGGCCGAGTCTAAATAAAAAAATTTCATGGGTGAAGTGGGACTGTGTGTGTCGTGATAAGGCGAAGGGGGGCTTAGGGGTGCCAGATCTGCTTAGGAAAAATTGGGCATTATTAGGAAAGTGGTGGTATAGGTTTGGTGATGGGGTTGAGAACTTATGGAAAAGAGTGGTGAGGGAAAAATATTATGGAGGTAGGAGAGAGGTGGATATTACAGCGGTTGAGTATTCGAGGGTGTCAAAACTGTGGAGGGATATTATTAAAATAGGGGGTCAATCTTTGAGACTTAGGAATATGTTAGTAGAGGGTTTCAAGTGGGAAGTGGGTGAGGGAAATAAGGTGGACTTTTGGCAAGAGAGATGGGTTGGCGATAAAACTCTTAGGGACTTATGCCCAAGATTGTATGCTCTAGCCGTAAAGAAGGAGGGAAAGGTCTCGGAGATGGGAAAATGGGATTAGGGTAGATGGGTTTGGCGTGTTGAGTGGAGGAGAGGAACTATAGGGCGTGAGAAGGATGAGGAGGGGGTGCTGGAAAAGGCACTGGAGGGTGTCAAACTAAAAGAGGGGGTTCGGGATGTGTGGAAGTGGAAGCATGAAAGGGATGGCAAATATGTGGTCAAGACAGCCTATGTATTTTTAGATTCTATGGAAAGTGTTTTAGAGGACCAGATTTGTAAGTTAATATGGTGCAGGTTGGTGCCATCCAAAGTGGCTTTTTTTGGGTGGCGATTGTGCTTAAACAGGCTTCCAACAAAGGAAAATCTTCAAAAGCGAGGGGTACAGTTGCAGGAGGAAGGTATTTTCTGTGAGTTCTGTAATGGGGTAGTGGAGGAGGCTAACCATTTGTTTTGTATATGTTATAAAACGTGGTTAGTTTGGGTAGAGGTGTTGAATTGGTGGGGATTGGAGAGTGTTCTACCCAATACAGTGGGGGGAGTGGCAGAATTTTTCATATATGAGTTGGGAAGAATAGTAGGAAAGGAGATAGGTTCCTGTCTTTTCCTGGTGGTTGCTTGGTATGTATGGTATAGAAGGAATGCCCAAGTATTTCGAGAAGATGAAGGAATCCCAGAAAATCTGCTGGAAAGGGTGCAAGTAAAAACCTTTCTATGGTTAAAGGCTAAAGTGAATGGCTGTGTCTTTCCCTTTCATGAATGGCAATCCTGTCCGACGGAGTGTGCAAAGGCTGTCAAAAGGCATAAAAGGATGAGGAAGCAATTCTCTAAGGAAGCTGCGCCACAGAGATAATGGGGGGAAGTTCTTAATCTGCTATTTACGCCTGCTGTATGAGCCCTGATTGTTTGGGTTCTTCGGTAGGCATAAGCTGCAGATTCCGGCTTAGTTTGTATATTCTCCTGTTGTTTTTCCTGAAGCTTTTTTCGGAGTTTTTGATTTCTTAAGTGTTGTAGCTTTTGGTTTGTATCTGGAGTTCCAAGGGCTGTATTTTGTTTTGGGAGTATTTCTTATGCTCCTTTGCTAATATATTTCATGATGCTTTGCCGATCAAAAAAAAAAAAACTTGAGTATTTCGTTGTTTGGCTTATATCTTCTGACTCAATTAATTTCACGAATACTTATAACATTAATTTTTTTGTATAGTGTAAGATGTCATCCATTGGGTTTGTAATAAAGTCGGTTATGCTTTCTGTAACCATGCAGAGGGATGTTGGTTTTGTAATATTGTCTGCTGTCTAGAGCAATGGTGTTTCTGTAAACTCTTCTACATATTGAGAACATAGTTTCAAAATTTTCAGTAATTAATTAATTAATCTATATATTATATTTTAGTACGAGGTTTAAGAAAAATATATTTGCATCACAAGTGTCATCGAAAAGAGCAATAGCTGCCACATGGAAGACTCTCTAACTTACATAACAATCAAGTAAATTTGGTTTGTCGGCTGTTATACCATCCCCCTCTTTTAATAACATGTTCAGCCAAAATTTATCAAAAAAATAAAAACATGTTCAGCCAAACGGCATAGAACTTTCTAAATTCAACACAACCGCGCATGGCATTCGTTTTATCATGGGTAAGGTGTGTGCCAAATCCTTGCCCCTCGAGCTGGCGAAATTACAACGAAAAAAAAAAAAATCTGGCGAAACACTAGAATAGAATATACATTCGTTGGTGAGTAGAATCTCTATGGAAGTAGAATAGTTTTTTACTTTTTTTTTTTTTAATGGTCCCATATCGATTTACATGCATCTTAAAATAAATCATTTTTAAGATTTTAAATATGTATTTCACATTATTTTGTTGTATTTAAAGAAATACTAATTCTAAAATTTAAATCTTAAATTTAACTTAAAATGTACTATTTTCGTTCAATTTAGTTGGTGTTGTTTGATTTTTAATTTTTTATAAATTAATTTTAGATAAAAATTTGATAAAATGTATAAATGGTAATTAAAAAATTTTCTTTTCTAATTGAAAATTTAATAAATAATGATTGATTTTTTTTTTCAATTTAATGAAACTACTCAACAAGAAAAAATGTAAGAAAAAAGTTTTAATTATCATTTATATACTTTGTTAAATTTTTATCTAAAATTAATATATAATAACTTAAAAATAAATTAAAATAACACTTACTTCATAGTAAGTCAAATCATAAATATTTCAAACATACTATCATTGGGTATGAATTATAAGAGAACTTATTTCGTGGGATTATATATGTATATATTGTCTAGTTATTTTACATAAAAAAATATTTTTTAAAAATATTTTACATAAAAAATTTTATATTAAAAATATAATTTATCATATAAATTTATTAAAATAATTTATATAAAAGAAATTATTTTATATTATTTTACTTAAAATATTTTAATAAAGTTGTAAAATTAATTATATTTTTAATATATAGTTTAGATTAAGAATTCCAAAATTTTTATATTCTTCAGCGCAATTATTGCTTGAAACTTTGAAAGCCGCACGGTTACGTACGGCCCACGTTATCCAGTTTTAGAATGGGTTAAGGTCAACTATAGTCTCTCTACTTTCAATTTTCGTTCATTTTTCTCCCTGTACTTACATTTCGTTCAAAGTCTTCCCTCCACTTTTCCAAACCATACCATAATCCTCCCTCTATTTTAACTTTTCATAACATTTACCTCCCTCCCCTAACACCACATTAACACCGTTTCTAACTCCCATCTAACGGACATATCTTGGACTGTTAAATGTGATGGTTTTCCTCTTATTTATTTATTTTGAATTGTGTTATGTAAATAAAAATCTTGCATGATTTACGTACTTCATTAATTAAAAAAGTAACAATGTATTTTCCTATAATCAATCGACTAAAACTAGGGGTACATGAATTATTATCACATCTTAAAGTGTGTTTTTTTTTTCCCCATCATATCTTAAAGTGTTAGGCATTATTTGTTAGTAATATGTTGTATAATGTTATAGTTATAAGTTTTGTTTTTTATTATTTTAAAAATATATAAAATATTAATTAAAATTAATCAACAATATTATAGTTATAATGTTATATAGAATTATAAATTTATGATTATCATGTGACATTAAATAAGTGTGACATGTTATTGAATGAATAAATGCATATAATACCATATGTGAGTTTTAAATGAAAAGAGTTAATTATATAATAGTATATTATATTATAAATATATAATATTACATAAC